CTGAAAAAGATAAAGCCCAGGATACCACTGCCAAAATCTTGTGCAAGTTTTCCTGAAAAAAAAAGTGTTTGGCACAACTAAGCCTAGAAAGATCTTACACAAGGAGGTATTCGTTATTCTCTCTGCTGTTCAGTTTAACCACTATTAATAATTTCGCCAGCTTTTTATACTTTGCAAAATGCTTTCCCCTAATCTTTTGAGCTAGGTAAGAGCATAACAAGTCGTACTTGAAGTTACATGAAAAGGAGAAAGGACTCATTCCAAAGACAGCACGATGCCTCCAAACTCACCACTTTCCAGCTAACCACCTCGTACCACCTCATACGTTCTAAAGAAATACCTAACTGGAAGAAACGTACACGTTTACTAGGTTTCTGCAATCTAGGCATACTTGTGTTGCAAATCATAACTGTGTATTTCTGAGAGCTAAGGGAGAAAAAAGCCTCAAATCTCAGACAGTGTTGGCTTCCCGTCTGTGTGTTCTTCCATTTCTTCACCTTTGAATCAAGATGAAAAGACAACACGGTGTACGGATAAAGAGCTTGTGCTCCAGAACCATACTACCGGGGCTGAAAGGCTAGCTCCGCCACTGTGCAACCTTGGCCAAGTTACTTAACCACTCTGTGCCTCTGTGTCTACTGAAATATCTGTAAAATGGGGATAGTACCACCTCGTTTACTTGGTATGAGGATTGGACAAATATATGTAAGGCACTTGGTATAGAAACTGACACATAGTGCTATATAAATATTTACTGTTATTAACTCAGACCAGTCTTGAAGTGTTAAAGGAACCGAATTCACAAAAATAAGGGTAAAAACCGCGGAAGGAGCGGAGAGACAGAGAAGAAAACTCTGTAATAGCTAAAGAGAAGACACAGAAGGCAAATAACAATGAAAAGTTGGTTGTTTCCAAGAAATAAAAAACCAACTACAAGATACTGAAGCAACGGGCCAAGCAAAGCAAAGCTGTTTTTTCCTTGTTCTGCAGACTGCTCAGCTGCCAGACTTTTCCATTTTCCGGTCTGGGTCTCTATCGTATACGTTTTATATGGGGGCCCCAGACCAAGGAGGCTCAGTGTTGGGGGTGGTGGCAGCTCTTACTAAGCCCCTGCATTTATGACTATGACCAGGACTCTCACTCTTTGCGGCCTGAGGCTACGTGAGGACTTGGTCTCCACACAAATCAGATCAGAAGCGGATAGAGGAGATTCCAATTCCACCAGCCACCCTAGTCGTGGAGGGGCCCTAGGAAGCTCCTCAAACTGGAAACCCAGACCAGGCCCCAGACCAGGGCCATCGATCACCCGGCATAGAGCCTGCCCTTGGGACCGTGGGACGCACATGCAGATGAAGGGACCTCCCAGCCCACATTGCTTGAGCCTGAGATCCAGCGAGAGCAAACCCCAAAGCCGTAGGGTATCTAGATGATTATCTTGACAGAGGAAACCACTAAAAACGGAAATATAAGCACTTCTAATAATTAAACATTCTTTAATCACTCTATTTCAGGCATTCTTAAAATGTCCATTACTTTAAAAAAAGGCCACCAAGCAAAATAAGTATCTCTGGAACGAAAATAGTGACATCAACTGTGTAACGGTCACTTCCCTGTGACAGCTACTGAGCAGAAAGAACAGTGAAGCACCAGTTGTCTCTCCAGGTGCCTAGTGCAGATTTGGGGAAGCATCAATGCTCAGTCTGACATGAGTCTTAGGGGTCTGACACACATCTGCAATATCCTCACTTCCCTGTTAGAACTGTCAACCATAATTTATCCAAAGTTGCAGTGAACTTACGTAGGCTTTCAGCCTACCTACATCTTGCAGTTGAATCAACTGAGAACACCCTATGTCCCCTGCACATCCTACAGACGCCCATCACCTTCTTGTGCCTGATCCTCCCAAACCAAAGATCGCTAGTGAAGCAGCCTGCTCAGAATCCAGCCACACAGAAGCCATCCCGAGGCAGAACCTGCCTCGAAAGATTTGGCCTAGCAAATGTATTATTTGTTTCCCATTTAAAATAATCAAAAAATATCTGACTGCCAATTAGAGCTCCCAAGCAACAGAAGATACCTAGTATTGCCAAACTGACTTGCTCTTATTTCAACCCAGAAACAAAATGCATGTGAATGAGCCAGAGCTGTCTGATTCTGTAAAATGGTTGCTCTCAGCCTCCTGCCTTGCTCTCCACACACCGGTTATTTCTGTCTCAGAGTCACCAGAATCCACAGATCCCATGGACAACGAAGCCACCACACTACAAACTGAGTCTGGAATTTGGCAGTAAAGACTTGCTGTGCTGCCCTCCCAGCAGCTAATTTATCTATGATATGAAATTACATCAAATTTCCAAGGACTGGAGAAAACATTTCCCATGAGCAAAAAGTTAATTTATTTGCACAGGGAAATGAATGGTTCCCTTTGCTTTCCTGACCCTCCCACAGGCACCAGGAAACAACAGTAAGTGACCCTGAAGAGAGATCCAGACAGAGCCTTCACTTACATAAGATCACCTAAAATCAGCCATGGGTGACAGAGGACATAAATTCTGCAACCCGCGGTAACAGGTCTGCGGATTCTTTAAGGTGAAGTGCAGCATCTATTTAAATGCATTCCCTATTAAGAAATGACTTGGGCTGGTCCTATGGTAGTGGGTTATCAGAACTCATTAACATTCGTGTCACTAAAGCTGGTATACAACCCCCACTGCTAAATTTGACTAGCTAAAAATAAATAAATAAGAAATGACTTGGTTGTTTTTTGGTTTTGTATGTCATACTTTGGGGAAGGGGTGCTGAGACTGTATTTGGAACAAATGGTAATCATTTAACACATTGACTGCCACACTAGAAAAAAAATTTTTTGCCTTAGGGCTACTGTGTTTTATTATGAAAATAGAATAAAAACTTTGAAAACCAAACTATCCTTCCTAATGTAATGAAA